GGGGGGGGGGGGGCATATTTTCCTTGTCTCAGTCGGACGCGAGCGAGGTCCAAGGAAGGACAGGGGGAGGGAGGGTGGAGGAAGGCCACCTTAACTTCATGGGACGTACGAGTCATCTCCTTAACCGCGACCATATCGGTGCCAATGCGTCTCCGCAGTGTCGGATCGATGATCTGGGTGCGGAATACCCGGGCCTGGCTCCCACAGCCCAGACCGGTGGTATTACCCAGGTCGACGCTATTTTCGAGAGCGACATTGATGAAGCCCGGCAGGGAGAATTCTGTCCAAGCATCGGGGAGCCCACCACCATTGGTCAGGAACAGAGGGCGGGGAAGGGAAAAGCGCGACGAAGAGGCGGATGGCTTGCAAGAAGGGACTTCAGCATACCGACAAGGGTGTTGAGCACGGTCATGTTTTCATCATCTCCCGGGGACATGCTCTGGCCAGTGGGATCCTTGCTGGGCGAACGCCGCCGGCAGAAGAACACCATCAGCAGGACGATCAAAGCAAGGAGCACAACAATCGGCACGGCAATCACGGTTGCTGCGGCAGGGTCGGGACAGGGCCGGGGAAGGGTGGGTGGGGCGGGGAGGCGAAGGAAGGGAAGAGAGGGGAGCGGATCAACGGGAGGTGGTCAGAGGGGAAGATAGATGAAGAGGGCGGGGGGGGGGGGGGGGGCCGAAAGGGGGCCCAGGCATTCCCCCGACCGAAAAGAAAAAAACAACAAAAAAGGTCCACCCAGCTCTTGCCCCCCACCCCCCCCACAACTGAGAACATACCAAGCACTCCGGACGACATGCGAGGTCTCGGGTTTGACCAAACAAGGCAATCCTGCTTGGCCGGGCCCAGGCAGCTGGAACAGCCATCCACACAGGCGGCGCAGTGGGTCTCCGTGGCCGGGTATGTTCCCGCCGGGCAGCCACCCTCCACACACAGGCCTTCGTACGCCATGTAGCCGAAGTGGCACTCGACACAGTGGCCGGCTGGGGCTTCGCAGGAAATACACCATTGCGGGCATGCGCGGCACTCCCCGGCACCTGTGCCGCCGGGCTTTTCGGCCGGCACCAGGTAGTAACCCGTGGCGGGGCAGGCCTCCCGACACTCATGGAGCTGGGGAATGAAAAACTTGTCGGCCCTGCAGGCCGTGCACTTGAGGCTGGTGTCCTGGCACTCGAGGCACCGGGAATCACAGCCCCGGCATCGGCCAGTGGCATCTGGATGCGAGATGGGATCCGGGTTGAAGTGACCTGCCGGGCAGTCCACCGCGCAAGTCCCATCCCCCCGAAGGACCAATTGCCCGGAGCACAACTCGCACCGGACATTGACCTCGGAGCATTTGTGCTCGGATGGCTGAACATCGTGGACGCAGCGATCGCAGCCGGTCGGACACGTCATGCATGTCTGCGTCGGTTGGCACTCGTACTCTCCCGCCAAACAGGCTGGCAGACATTGGCCCGTCTGGGGGTGGAGCTTCCACCGGAAGGGATCCCCCGCGGGCTTCGGGCAGGAAAGGCAGAATGAGGGATCCGATGGATGGCAAGTGGCGCACCCGGCCGCACAGGGCACACAGGTGCCTGATGCCAAATCGGCGGCCATGCCCGCCGGGCAGGTCCCGCGACAATACCCATCCAGCAGGTAGGTCCCACTCGGGCAGGACAGACACTCGGACATGCGCGGGCCGCTGCACGCACTGCATGTCGACACGCACGGCTGGCAGGAGGCCACATCGCCGGGGGAGGATGCCTCCTGGCGGAAGAAGCCCGCCGAGCAGGTTGCCACACAGAGTCCCGCCTGAATCAGGGCTTCCGGATCGCTGCATGCCAGGCATCCACTGGCCCCCGGGCTGTGGCACCTGGTGCACGACGCGTGGCACACCTCGCAGCGACCGGCGAAGGGGAATTTGCCCGGAGGGCAAGTCGATGTGCAGGTGTTCTGGGCCTGATCCAGGACCATGCCCCGCCGGCATGCATCACACCGGGGCAGTGGCTCTCCCGGGACAATGCGGCAGTGCGTGCAATCGGCCGGGCAGGCAACACAATGCTGCCTCCCCGCATTCGGGGTCGTGCCTGCCGGGCAGGAGCTGACGCAGGTCCCCCGACTGGGGGAGCCGCCGCTGTCTCCGCTGCCACTGCCATGGAGTCCGGACAGGTCCACGTGCATGTACCCCGGCGCGCAGGAGGAGCAATCCGTCGAGTAGAGCCCGGTGCAGGTGGCGCAGCTTTGGTGGCATATGTTGCAACGGCTACCGAATGGCGTATATCCATCGGAGCAAGAGGTCCGACAGGTGCCATCTACATCGATCAGGCCGGAGCCACTGCACGACCAACAGTCATGATCGGTCGGGCCGGAGCAGCTCCGGCAGGCGGGCGAGCAGGCAGTGCACGTTTCCTCATCCGAGCGGAAGTGCCCCTGGCCGCAGGAATCAAAGCAGCGGGCTTCCGGACAGGGCTTGACCGGGTCCTCGGCGGCCGTCATCCGGGTGCCATTGACACAGTCACCCTGCCAAAAGCCCAGCGAGTCGGCGCACGTGAGGCAATGGTGTTCCTCCGGCCCGTCGCACGTCTCGCAGGACCCATGGCACTCGAGGCAACGTCCGTAGCCCGCTTGGGGAGCCTCCTGGCGGAAGTATCCTGCCGGGCAGATTCCCACGCAGGTGGCCAAGTGGCCCGGCAGCTGAAGCATTGCCTTTTCCGGGTGGCAGGCGGTGCAAGCCCCGGCCGGGGAGTCGCACGTCAGGCAGTCCGCCGCACAGGGTTCGCATGTGGGCCGATGGGCCGGCGACCCGGGCACCTGGGCGAAGCCCCTCGCACAGGAAAGACACTGATTGGCCGCCTCGGCGCATGTGCCACATTCCGAGGCGCAGGGGTGGCACACGCGGCCGTCCAAGTAGAAGCCCTGCTGGCAGGTGTGGCGACAGCCAAGCTCGCGATCGAGCACCAACCCAGCAATGCACTCCAGGCAGTCGGTCTCCCCCGGGCCCGAGCAAGACTGGCAGGTAGAATGGCACATGTCGCAGGTTCCCGGCCCGGTGGCGCCCAAACCGGTGGCCGGATGCCAGAAGGTCCCGGCAGCGCAACTTTGGCACTCATCCACGGCCGCCGGACACTCGAGGCATCGAGACACGCAGGGCTGGCATTCGCCATGCCCCTCGACCGGATCAACATGCGCGCGGAATTGGAGCGGGCACTCGGTCTGACAGCCGGCCATGATGAGGAACAGGCCCGCCGGGCACCGGGTGCAGTTGTCCTTGGTCGAGCCGTCGCACTCGACGCACGCCTCATGGCAGCGGTCACAATGCAGGGCGCTGGGGAAGGGCAAAAAGTGCCCGGCCGGGCAGACTGTGCACTGGACCCCGGCCGGCTCGGTCACGCGGCAGGCCGTGCAATTGCCCGGGCAGGGCCGACAGTCGACCCCGCCACTGGACGGGTCGAGGTAATGCGTGTCGGCCGGGCAGGAGGCAATGCACTGTGCGGTGGTGACATCGTGTACCTTGCACACATGGCAGGCCTCGGGCCCGGGGCCGAGGCACGTCCGACAAAGGGCATCGCACGGCCGGCAGGCATTCGCCTCCATGTCGAAGTAGAGTCCCTCCGCGCAGACAGCCGTGTGGTAGACCTCCACCTGGCCCGCGGGCGTCGTCAGCAGCAGACTGACGCGGGATTCCTGCACAATCGCCAGCATCTGCCGGGTAAGGGGCAGGCCCGTGGCCATGGTGGTGGGCCCACTGTCGAGGGCATCGGCCAGGGTGGTCCCAACGGTGGTGGCGATGGCTCCGGCGACGCGCGGGCGCCACTGAACCGGCAGGAAGATCACCGCCCCCGTATGCCGAGCGATGGACACGCCGATGCGGCTGGTCGTGACCAGCACCAGGTCCAGATGCCCATCGCGATTGATGTCCGCCAGACTCGCAAATTCGAGCCCCGACTCCGGCAACTCACCAAGGGCGTAGGTGAGGGGCTCGAAGTTGGAAGTGACCGCTTGGTGGATATGCCGATTGGGGAAGTGGTCAAGCAGCAGGTCGGCCACCATGCGCCCATTGTCCGGCATGAGACGCACGCGAAGAAGATCATCCATCTCGCGGCTGGTGAGGCGCCCAGCGAGCAGGTGGAAGTCCGGACCCGTGAGCCAGGAATCGGCTTGCCTCAAAAGTGGCGGCCCGGTTTGCAACGACAGCCAGTGGGCTGTGGTCGGCGAAAGGGGCGCCTGCTCGCGCAGCACCACCGGCCCATTGCCGATGGAGTGCAGGAATCCAATCCCCGGTGCGGTCGGCTGGCTGAGTAGCCCGCAGGCTGCCCGCACGGAAGAAGACGCCAGGTCGTGTTCCTGGGTGTCACGCACAAGTGGTGACCACACACCGGTCGGACTCCGCAGCTGGACAAAGGTGTAGACGCCGGAGTTGGTGGACGTCTCGAAGGCCGCAACGAGGCCCTCTTGCGTTGGACTGGCGCCCGGACAGGCGAAGAGACCCCGGCACTGGCCCAGGAGGGTGGACTGTGGGGACACCACACAGGTGGGCTGGCAGGTGACCTTGACCTCTGCCGCTTGGGAGGGGGTGCACACGGCGATGTGCAGGATCCCGGGGCTGGGCTGATGGATATGGGCGCCGTAGATATTTTGCGGGAGAGTGCTGCCAAACAGAGAGAGCGTCTGCTGGCAGGAAACCGTGTCGGCCGAGGAGTCCAGGGCACAGAGAAGCAGATGCCCACTGTGCGAGAGAGCCATGAGCGACTGGGCATTGTCACCGGTGGCAAGGCAGGCTCCATTCGTGCCACAGGGCTGGAGCGGACCGACAGCCAGCCGCAAAACCGGAGGGTGCGCCGCGGCAAGGGCACGGGCGTCCATGGCATGGTCCTTGCCGATGCTGATGACGCTGCCACTGTCGCTGCTGCTGTTGTTGGTGTTGGTGTTGTTGTGGACGTTCTGCCTGCTGCCACGTTCAGGAGCCGCAAGGGCCACGGTCGCTCCATTTACCGGAGTCCCCGGCGGAGTGAACACCATCTCGAAGGGATCAAGATCGTAGTCGCACACCGCACGCCCACTGCCACGGCCATCCGGACAAGACTCCACACAGGACCCGGTCTCGGTCAGGGAAAAGCGCGGCCGGCAGCTGAGGCAGTGCCGAGGGTTGGCATGGTCGCAAATGTCGCAATTGCTCGCCTGACAGGAGGCACAGGCTGCCGAACAAATGGAGCCCCATGTCGATGTCGGTGCACGTGGATGCACACGGGGGACAGATCATTAGCAAGGGGAGGACGGGCAGGGGATCTCGGAAAAAAAAAGAGGGCTACGGACTGGAGGTTTGGCGGTGGAAATAGTAGCCGAGTGCGCATCCGCCGCACAGCTGGCCCTTGGAGTGTGCGGGACCACGGCCCTCGGCACATCGCCAGGCGGCCGTGCGGGCAACCGTGTCGAGAAGGCACTCGATCGTGGGATCGGGGGCCGAGACAGCCGATTGTGGGCAGAGGAACTCCTCCGGGGTCAGGTAGAAGTGGGTATCGGCCAATCGCCACACCGAGGACACGGTATAGGCCATATCCAGCATGGCCAGCTTGGTGGGAGCCCGATCGAAGGCCACCTGGCGGATGATCGGTCGGGTGGTTTGGCTGTCGACCATTGTCATGTCGATGCGGTACACACGGATTTGTGTGCCATGTGGCGCGGCGAAAAAGAAAAAGGGCGCGCTGGGATTCATGAAGTGCTTGTTGCCAGCGATGAAGCGTCCCCCGCTCGTGGGGAAGGATGTGGGCAGGGTCAAGTGAAGGACTTCCTGCGGAATGAGGCTCCCGTTGGTGGCGCGAAGGATCACGATCGAGCCGTTGTCCAGTTGCATCAGCACATCGAATGTCACGTCGGTCTCATAATACAGGCGCGTGGCCGTGACGGCCGCCGTGAAGCCAGGACCACCGGAGCGAGTGGTCAGCAGGGCGGTGTTGCTGGGATTGACCACGCGGTTTTTTTCCACGTAGAGGGAGTTCTTGTTGTAATGAAAGGCGGTCAGCTTGCGACCGGCCTGGGAGGCAGATCGAATGAAGGTCCTGCTCTCATTGTAAGTGAGACGGAGGGAGTCACTTTCGTAGAGGGCGTTGATCTCGGTGGTTGACACGTCTGTCGTCCAGATGGCATAGCCCAGTGGGCTTGTGGTAATTCGGGTCATGGCAGTCGTGGTGAGGCTTCCAGTTCTTGGTTGGGAAATGGCATATGCGTTGTTTTGGAGGACCGCCGCGCAGAAGGTCGTTGACGAGCGAACATTGCAGGTGAAAGGTGTCACCGGGGGGGAAACGAGGGAGTTCTGATTCGCTCGCTCGAAAGAGGCGCCCCAGCGCGGATCAACGCTCGGGACTGGCCGATAAGCGGCCAGCGAGTTGCGAGACACCAGCAGCATATCGCCGGTCGCCTTGGGATTAGTGCCGAGGACATCCTGGAAGGTCAGCCCGATCATGTCGTCCTGGTGAGCAGGAGCCAGCACGGCCGGATCCAGGGCGCGTAGGTAGAAGGCTGTGCCGATGTCGCTCTCGGAATAGGTATACTCCCGAAGGATGGCCGAATTGGCGGCCGGCCAGCAAACATCCTTCAAGCAGGACTGTGCCCAGACGGTGGGCGATCGGAGCAGCAAGAGTGCAAGCCCGAGAAGGATGGGGAGAATAGAGGACGGACCACCGGGCGATTGCATGGAGCCAGCGTGCAATCGGCGGGGCGGACCCGGCATCCTTAGGCAGCGACGAAAGTCTAAAATGAGGAGGGAGTGTAGGGTGGCTTGAAGTGTGTGAGGAGGGGAAAGAGAGAGGGAGAGAGAGGGAGAGAGAGGGAGAGGGAGAGAGAAGGAGAGGGAGAGAGAAGGAGAGGGAGAGGGAGAGAGAGAGAGAGAGAGAGAGAGAGAGAGAGAGAGAGGAAAAAGCAAGGTGACCAGCTCATCCCAGCGAGCTGAGATGTGCCCGAAAAGCGGCGTCCTTTTTCTCCCCAGCTCCGCTGACTTCCTCCTGCCATCTCCTTCACACAGGGGTACATCCGGGGGGGGGGGGGGGGGGGGGGGCAACTAGAGGCCAATTGAACGCGATGCGGGCCACATCATGCGGGGGCTTCCTCGATGTCCCTCGCTCCGATGTTGTGTCCCGACGTCTGCACAGGTTGTTCGCTCCTTGGCGTCGGCTATTTAAGTCCGTCCCCGATTCGATCAGAGTGATCGGTTGGGGCGGGCGAGCTCATTTCGTGTGTGTGTGTGTGTGTGTGTGTGTGTGTGTGTGTGTGTGTGTGTGTGTGTGTGTGTGTGTGGGCGTATCTCCTCAGCGAGGAGAATAGGTCCTGACGCAAGCCCATCTGGGCATTCCCTGCCCCTGAGATCGGACATGCGGCCCTCCCCTCCTCCTCTTCCTCCTGCCACTCGCACATACACGGGCTGCGGCCTTGGCATCAACGGATTCCTGGTCTCCGTTGCGGGCCTTGGGAACGCGAGGTAACCCCCACGCTCAGGGGGGGGGGGGGGGGCTGGGGAAGGGCGCAACGTTCTTACTCCTGACCATGGTGCGGCCGCCCATTGGGTGTCGGTGTTGGTGGAGCCCTTTCCGTTGCCCCCTCCCACATCCCTCCTCTGCGCCCCTCGCCAGACACTAGACCTGCCTGTTGGCCCTCGACACACCCAGGCTGATTGCGAAGCGTGCCTAGGAGAGACCATGAAGAAAATAGCCAAGGGGCGCCATCCTGCCAGGTGTACCCCTTAAGCATTCCCGGCTCTAATCGACTCGAGGGCGGCGAAAAAAAAAATACCCCCCGGCAGAGGGAGCCTCAAGATTGCCCCTCCCTCGACGTGCGCCGACAGAGGACACTGCGAGAAATCGTGTAAAACAATAACACAGGCGCTATTCCAGGAGCAAATAGGGGGGACTTTTCTCACGGAGTAAATTCGATAACCCTACTTTCCTCACATCTGACCCCCTCCAGGGGCACAGGGAAGTCTGGTGGTGTGTGTGTGTGTGTGTGTGTGTGTGTGTGTATGGAGGCTGAGGGCATCTGTCGAGAAAAGTCGGCGCCGGAGCCATTTCCTTGGGAACCATTTGTCTGTCGGATGTGCAGGGCGGGGACCGGCGAGGGCATTTGTTGGCCAGAAGCCCCACGGTCTCTCTCTCTCTCTCTCTCTCTCTCTCTCTCTCTCTCTCTCTCTCTCGCTGGGCCGGCGATGGGCTGGTTGCCCGTGCTTTTCATCGCACAGGGGGGCCTTGCATCTCCTCACCGTTACGGTGCGGCGCGTTTCACATGCACCAATGGGGCGCCCCATTCTCGGGATATGACTTTGGCCAGGAGTTGTTATCCGGCCCTTGGAATGTGCGGGCATTTGTCTGTTCGCCAGCACCGCGGAGGGCTTCGTTCGCAAGCAGGAAATCAAGGCACAATAGTCGCACAGAGACAAAAAAAAGAGGCAATGTCCGAACCAGGACTCGAACCTGGGACATTCTGTGTGTTAGACAGATATGATAACCATCTACATCATTCGGACTGATGGATGAGGCAGGAAAAGATGTACACATGTGTGTGCGGCCCGTGAGGCAGGAATGGCCTTCGGCGCGCGGGCCGCGACACAGGCCACCCCGAGGGCCTGCCGGCGCCCGGATTGCGGTGTGCAACTCGCCCGAAGGGCCGTGGCTGCTTGGCCGCCGATCGTGGCCTTTCCTTCCGCGGGGGTCACCATGCGCGCAAGGGACACCGAAGAGGGGGCGGGGGCGGGGGCGGGGGCGGGGGCGATGGGATGGCTGGAGATGTGTGCTTATTTTCTTTTGTGCAAACGACACCGGACAGTGGGGGAGGGCCCTTTTTTTTTTCGAGCGACGCCGCCAGTGTCCGGGCAGTGATGCGCGAGATCTGGACTGGGCAAGCGTCCCGCGGAGTGCATTCTTCTCGGCTGCCGGTCCTCGAAGAGGCGCCCGGCGGGGGGCCTCGCCCGAAATAAGGGTGCCCTGGCAGCCGGGGAGGACGTGGCTCCCCGCCGGTTGTGGCCGACGCACTTGCCTTGCGTGCTGGCAGGGGAGCGGGCCCGAGAATGCCTTCGCCATGGGTGCCCCGCCGGATGGTGGTGGTCGCCCCAGGGCAGCGGAGCGGTAGCCGAGGCCGACCGGGCGGGCAGAGGTGCCCCGGCCCGAGGGGAGGCAGGTGGCGCACGACCGTCGGCCAGCTGGCCGGGCGTGTACTTTCGGTGGGGGATGAGGGGCGCACGAGCCCGGGTGCCACGCTCCGCCGGCTGTCGGTCCTGGCCTGCTCGGCCTCCGCGTCCGCCCTGGCTGTGACCCCTCCACGCGCCAGGGTTGCTGCTGCTGCTGCTGCTCATGTCTCCAGGCGAGGGCACGCCACCTTTCCCAGCCCCTCGCCAAGGCGGGAGGACGGATGCGTCAACCCCCGGCCGATGTAGTTTCCGCTGCCCGGGCGCCCCTGGGTGAGGATGTGCCTTGCGCCTGGGCGCCGCTCCGCGGGTTGCAGCAACTTCAGGAAGGGCACCTTCGTTGGCGGAAGCGACACCGCATTGCCCGGTCGCGGTGGATTGTACCCTTCCTGGGCCGGCGGGTTTCGGTGTCTGATGCGCTGCCTCCCCGGGGGATACAAATCGCCGGCGGGGGCTTTTTCCTCGCTTGTCAGTGCCCTCTGTCGGCCGGCCGGCCCACGCTGGTACCGAAGTGCCACGGGCGCCGGGACCGAAGTGCCACGGGCGCCGGGACCGAAGTGCC